GTTGTAATGGCTATGTTGCTGGACTCCCACGTAGTTGACCATGGTTCGAGTCCTGGACTGGGTGGCTTAAACTCACACCGGGTGTGTATGCATGTGTGGCCCATATCCCGAGAGGAGAATGGAGGAGAAGGGATTGCAGTGTGGCCATACCCCCTGGGGAGTGATTTCTCACTTTCTGTCTCTATGTCTCTCTCTGTCTTTTTGATGAGCCCTACAGCAAAAATCTCTCCCAAAAGAGAGAGAGAGAGAGAGACTATCCCAGGAATTGCCTAAAGTGTAAAGACTTCAGAAGATGAACAGTTTGTGATTAGAGGAGAAAAATGAACTGATTCCCATCGTTCGTACTAGGTAGGCCAGGAGGAAGGAGTGAAGGAAATGTTGTGTTACGGTTTTGTGACTAAACTTTAACCATGTGTTTAAAGGATGTTGTGCTGGTTAAAGTGCCAAAGCGACCAGGTGGAAATAAATAGTCCTTCTGGATAATGATCATTCTGAATGAAGGACATCAGTTGTCTGAACTAAGAACATCACTGGCTCCTCTACCCAGTGTGGTGTGATGAAGTGGGGACCTGACTCTGTTGCAAGGGTGAGAGTGGAACGTGGAGCAGTCACTGGCCAGTGGGTGTGGACAAGGCTAGGATAGACTTTCACCCAGCTTCGTATTTAGCTGCGTGCTAAATAAGTAACAGAGGTAATACATTACCAGAGGTAACCAGTGGCACCAGTTCCTCATCATAAGGATTCTGCAATATGTATTGACTGGGATTTGCCCCCCCTCCTTTTTTTTTTGGTCTGAGTAATTTAACTCCTCTGTCTGCTTGCCAGCCTCTAAAATTTTGTTATATTAATTCCTCTTCTGTTCTCCCTGAATTTATTTTTTAAATCCTCTTTAAATTTGGCAATGATTTCCTTTTTTTTTTTTTTTTAAGACAGATTTTTGCTATAGGGCGTGTGTGCTTGCAGGGAGATGGCCATACCACATTTCCTTCTCCTTGATTCTCTTCTTGGGATTTTGGACATGCGCACACACATGCCAGGCATAAGTTTCAAACCTCTGGGTCTGGAACTCGAACTGCAGTGGGCCAAGTGGGAATCCAGTGACGGAATCATTAGGCTATCCACTGTTCCCAGCAATGACTTTTTACACAATCCATAATGAAAAAACTGACAAGTTGAACTTCATTAAAATAAAAAACTTCTCTGCAGAAGACGTTCTCTTTTATGAGAATGAAAAGACAAACCACAAACTGGGGGGAAAAAAACTTGCAAGGGCCGGCAGGTGGCGTGGTGATTAAGGGCACTGGATTCCCACGTGTCCAACCGTGGTTCAAGTCCTGGACCTGGTGGCTTGCTTTCTCACTTTCTCTCTCTCTCTCTCTATCTCTCTGTCCCTCTCTGGTGAAATTAAAATAAGTAAGTAAATAAATAAAGTTAAATAAAATAATTCTTTAAAAACAAACAACAAAAACTAGTTCCCAGGACTAGTAGATGGTGTAATGGTTATGTTGCTGGACTCCCATGTAGTTGACTGCAGTTCAAGTCCCAAATCTGGCAACTTAAAACTCACACCAGGTGCATGTACATAGATGCTGAAAACCCCAAGAGGAGACTGAAGGAGAAGGAATTGCAGTATTGGCCAACTCCCCTGGAGGGTGTTTTCTTGCTTTCTGTCTCTCTTGCAAGTGCACGTGCCCGATAGCAAAAACCTCTCTAAAATAAAAAACTAGTTTGCAAAATACACACAAAAAAATTCTTAAAACTCAACAGTAACGGGAACCAGCAGTTAGCGTAATGGCTATGTCGCTGGACTCCCACATAGTTGACCGCGGTTCACGTCCCAGACCCAGTGGCTTCAAACTCACGCAGGATGCGTGTGCGTGCGTGCCCAAGATCCCGAGAGGAGAATGGAGGAGAAGGGATTGCGGTGTGACCATCCCCACTGTGGGGTGATTTCTCACTTTCTGTCTCTATGTCTCTCTCTGTCTGTCTGGCGAGCCTACAGTGAAAAAAAAAAAAAAATCTCTCCAAAAAACAAACAAACAAAAAAACAAAAAAATTCATGCTGGGCGCATATGAGTGTGTGCCCAAGATCTTGAGAGGAGAATGGAAGGAGAAAGTAGTATGGTGTGGCCATTCCTCCCGGAGTGATTTTTCGCTTTCTCTCTCTTTAAAAAAAAAAAAAAAGAAGAAGAAGAATGTATAATGTTCTATGATTCCCTAATGTAAACTATGGGTTATTAGTTAATAATAATGTATCAATATTGGCTTTTCAGTTATAACTCATGTACCACACTAAAACAAGATGTTAGTAACAGGAAGTTGTGGGAGGAAGGGGTATATGGGAGCACTCTGTACTTTTTGTTCAGTGTTTTCTGTAAGCCTAGTGCTGCTAACAAAGTATCAATTTAAAGAAAATGCCCCATTTTTTTTTTTTTTATTGGGTGAGGGTGCGTGCACTTGCCAGAGAGAGGAAATACAGAGAAAGCACCCCTCCACTGGGATATGTCACCTGCAGTCTTTTCCCCTCCTCTTCTCCATCCTGTCAAGATTTTGAGCACACATGGATATATGCCTATCATGTGTCTTAAGGCATTAAGGCCAGAATTCAGAATATGATTAGCCACGGGGAATTGGATTCCCTACGTTCAGTACTTAACCTTTGGGCTACAGAGCAGGCCCCAAAGAAAATCCTCCTTCTCCTCCCTCTCCTTCCTTCTCCTCTTCCTCTCCTCTTTTCTCCTCCTCCTACCTCTCTCCTCTTTCCTCCCTCTCCCTCCCTCCCCTTCCTCCCTTGTCCTCCCTGCTTCCTCCTTCCCCCTCCTCCTTCTGTCTCCTCCTCCTTCCTCCTCCTTCCTCTTCCTACTGCTCCTCCTGCTCCCTCTCTTCTTCCTCCCTCCCTCCTCCTTCCTCTCTCCCTTCTCCCTCCTTTCTTCCTTTTAAAAATATTTGCCAGTGCCTGTGTTCTCACCAGAGAAAGAGAGACAAGAAAAAAGCACCCCAAATAGGACACAGTTACACTTCAATCCATTTTCGTGTATGGCACTTTTTGTAACTTTTAATTACAAGTTTCATTAATTGTTGATTTTATGCTTTCCTATTAGACGTAGGTTCAATGAGGGGAGAGACTTTTTTCTTTTTTCCATCATTGTAGGGCCAATGCTAGTGTCTAGCATAGTATCTGGCTCATAGGAGGGACTCAATATCTGTTTCTTTAAAAAACAGGGCAATAAGAGTTCAAAGGAGGATAAATAGTTGCCATATAAACTATGACCACTGAAAACATTTGAAATCAGAAAGGACAAATGTGGTGAAAGAGGACTAAAGTTTGAAGACAAATGCTAGTGTACATGCAAATTGCTTAGCTTTGTTAGCTGGTGCAAGCAGCATAGTGGTTAAGGTGCTGGACTCTCACATGGCTAGCCATGGTTCAAGTCCCAGACCTAGCAGCTTGAAAATCCTGCTAGGCACTTATGCATGCGTACCCAAATTCCTAAGAGGAGAAAAAAAAGGGATTATGGCCTGGTCCTTCCCCCTGGTGGATGATTTCTCAGTTTCTCTCTTTGGCTCTCCGATGAGTACATGCACCCTATGGCAAAAATCTCTCCAAAATATAATGTTATTTTTCTATGACTCAGTGACTGATTTTATCCTGTAATATTACCTAGAAACTAAAATAGTTCTAGATTTTCAGGAAGAGTAATGTTCTTCTGTTAATTTCCCTTTTCTTTATTTCATATAGTATAAATTTCATTTCATTATTTGGCAATAGGCTTTTGTTTTGTTTTTTTTAAAGAAACTGGCAATACCTAATACCAGAATTTCCTGTGTAAATTATTCAGTTTCGGGGACCAGCAGATAGCATGGTGGTTAAGGTGCTAGACATTCCCGCATGGCCAACCACGGCTCAAGTCCTGGACTTGGTGGCTTGCTTCTTACTCCTGCCCACCCCTGTCTCTCTTGTCAAATTAAAATAAATGAATGAATAAATAAAATAAAATAATTTTTTTAAATGTTCAGTTTTGCTAGCAGATGCCGGGGTGATTAAGGTGTTGGACTCCCATTTGGCTGAAGAGTGTTAGAGTCCTGGACCCAGTCGCAGACCCAGGCTTAAAAATTATACTGGGCGGGCCAGCAGGTGGCGTGGTGGTTAAGGATTCTGGACTCCCACATGGTTGACTGTGGTTCGAGTGCTAGACGTGGTCGCTTGCTTTCTCACTTTCCCTCTCTGTCTTGCTCTTGCTCTGTCCCTCTCTGGTCAAATTTAGATAGACAGATAGATAGATAGATAGATAGATAGATAGATAGATAGATAGATAAGTTTAAATACATAGATAAGCAAGCAAGCAATCATACTGGCATGCCCATGCCCAGATATCCCAAGAGGAGAATGGAGAACGGATTACAGCGTGGCCATTGATTTCTCACTTCACCCCCCACCTCTCTCTGAGAACAGATACCCTATACCAAAAACTAAAATTACAAAATAAAAACAAAAAGTTCAGTTTCTTCTTTACTGTGTGCCTTTGAGGCTCAGCAAACCTACTTTCTATTTCTTTTATGTGGAAAATAAGTCAAAGTAAAGTGTTCTGGTATAGAATACACAGTAGGTTTTCTCATTTTAGCTCATTAACACACTGAGATAATAGCTCCAGCACTTAGTCTTTCCGACGATTATCTTTCCATATGTGGTTCTCTCTGGAATTAGACTCTAGGGAATTAAAAGAATGTCTCTATTTGACAAATGTAAAATTAAAATAGATTTGTGGTTATGAATCATAAACTCTGACCTGCCTCCTGACCTAGCTCACCTTTGTTTTTCTTTTTCCACGCAGACTGATAGAGCTACATTCTCCTGACAGCAGGAACACATTGATCCTACGCTGCAAGGATACAGCCACTGCACACTCCTGGTTCGTAGCTATCCACACCAACATAATGGCTCTCCTCCCACAGGTGTTGGCTGAACTCAACGACATGC